GCAAGTCATCAGAGCCCCAACTCTGGACTGGATGGGAGGAGAGGCCAGCTCTTCTCCTGGCGTTCTCCCGGCCCCACCCTTCAGACCCAGCTGTCAGCCCTGGCCCACACCCGTAGCAGCCACTCTCTGCTTCCCTTCAGCCTCTGGTGGCCTGGAAGCTCAGTGCTACCCAGACCAAGTGCCAGCGGGGAGCTGAGACCTAGGGTCGTCTTCCCTCAGTACCACATGGGGCCCCAAGCTCAAGAATTTAGACTCCCTTGGTGGCTTCTGGCTCAGGAACTCTTTTCTGCCGCTGCTACACAGGGGTGGATTGATTGTCCCAGGCCACCCTGATTTGAGAAAGGACAGTAGGTTCCCTGAAAAGGGTGAGGAAATGGAACCCTGGGTGTGAGGAGACGTCTATCTGCTCTGTCACAGCCTGGGTAGGACAGACCCCAAGAAAGCTGGTGGCAGAGCGTCCTGGGCTGGGAGCCGCCCTGGAGAGAGGGCCACCCCACCTTTAGGTTCCAGCCCATGAGACTGGACAACCTGGGTGAGAAAGTTCTGTTCACTCAGCAGCCCTGGGCCCTGGTGCAGCCAAGGGCATGGGATTCACGGGGTGGAGGTCCAGGAGCCCGTGGGCATGGCTGTGGTAAGGACGTCCTAGGACTGAAGCAGGCAGCTGTTGGGTGGACCAAGGATGCCAGGTCAGACTGTCTGTTGTGAACTTGACAAGCAGAGTTGTGTCTTCTGTCCCATCCTGCCCTGCTGGTGTCTGAGGGTGCTGCTCTGTCTACTGGCTCGTGGCTGGACTCTCACTTGCCCGGGGTGCTCAGATGTCCACAGGTGCTGTTCTGGGTCCTTGTGGACCCTGCAAGCAAGGGAAGCCCTGCCCACCTGGGCCATGCAGGTGCATACATGCGATTTGAAAGATAGGGTGTTTTCGGGCTGGGCGGTGGTGGCGCACGCCTTTAATCCCAGCACTCGGGAGATAGAAGCAGGCCGATCTCTGTGAGTTCGGGGCCAGCCTGGTCCACAGAGTGAGTTCCAGGACAGCCTCCAAAGCCACAGAGAAACCCTGAATCGAAAAACCAAAAAAAAAAAAAAAAAGTGGGGGGTGTTTTCATGTGGGAAGAAAAAGAGGGGCAGGCGGGGCCCAGGGTGGTGCTGGGGAGGAAAGCGGCAGGCTGTGCACCCCAGGTGTCCGCACCCTGGGGTGGGTGTAGTTCAGGACAGCAGGGATCCAGGCAGGGGTGAGTGGAGAGGAGGGTGTGGGCTGTCAAAGGCCCAGGAGCAGTTTGGATTTGCTTCTCCATCCCGGTGGCCGGTGCTAGAGGGTCCTCGTCCCTGGGGTGACATGGCCTTGAAATCTTCCAGGAGGCACTTCCAAGTGGCACGTGGGGGACTTGGTGGGCTAGGCAGGAGGAGTCCCGCTGGCCCAGAGAGGCAGGAAGTGCGGGAGAGTGACAGCGGCATCGGGAAGCTTTGGGTGGGTGACTGCACTGAGACCCAGGCTTGCGTCTGCAGGGCCCCGTGCTGCCGAGGCGGTGGCTTGGGAGGCTGGTACCCTCGCCAGGCTGGGCGGGATTGTGGTTGAATGGTAGCTGGCATTTGAGTCTGAGCAGCACTGGGAACATCTCTGAACACACGTGGCACTTGCAGGTGTGGCTGGGGCCTGCAGCAGTGTGCAGCCTGGGACCAGGGCCGCCCTGGACAGCACAGGGCTAGAACCCAGGTGGGCTTAAGTAGATTGTGACTCGTGTTCAGAGTTCTCTGGTGTGGAGGCCCCTCCGTCGCAGCGGCCGCTGCGTTGGCCTGGATGCCTGTGGTGGTGACTGGAGCATCTTTGTGCTGGCCGGCCCGCATGGAGCTGTGTACCCCTGCAGGGAGCTTGGTTCTCTACTGCCGTGCAGGTGGCATTTGACTGGATAATTATGTGTTCCGGGAGCTGCCCCGGGCGTTCAGGTTGTTAGCTGCGTTCCTCTCTACCCATGGGGTACCAGTAGCACCTTGCAGACAGGTGTCCTCAGGCGATTGTTTACAGCTGTGGGTCCAGGGGAGTGCCACATAGGTGGGTGACTTGGTGGGTCACTCAGGCCGCTGAGCCTCTTTCACCTGTCCTGTACCTTGGACAGGCGTGGTGTCAGGCACCACAGTAGTGCCTGTCAGAGACCTCAGGGAAAGTATAGGTGAGCAGTCAGAGACACAGGGACCCTGAGCATCTAGGGCACACAGGACCGGGCAGGTCCTTGGTGGCTTGGCAGAGCGGGAGAGCAGCTGCTGCTGTAGGCATGTGTCCTCGCGGGGGCTGTGGGGTGGCTCTGCACCAGCCTCAGTGTTGGCAGACACCACCCCACAGGCATTGGGTAAGGGTGTCCCACCCATGTTTAGGGAAGTGTAGAGGGTAGCATGCTCAGAGCCTCCAAGTGTTTGCGTCACACCCAGGTGTAGGGGCACTCATAGATTTCACTGCTCTAGGAAGGCCTCAGTCTTGCCTGGTGGGGAGCAGGCATCCAGCAGCGCCCTCTACCAGAACTCTGTTTTCAGGAGGGTCAGCCAGGCTGGGGGACCGTGCAGGAGGTGGCCCTGGACCCCAGGCTGAGGCAGGTGCAAGAGTCTTGGGTGCTGTGGGATCTGCTGCTGTGCAGGTTTTGGTCTCAGCAAGGGCTTAGGGATGTGGTGGGCGTCTGAGTGATGACGGGGAGGAGGCAGCGGCGGACGAGCCCTGCTTCCCGGTCCTGTCATGCTTACTCCCACCTGGCCCTCCCTGGTGCCTGCTCGGGCCCCACGTTGCTAGGACCTCCCCCGAGCTCTGTCTTCTGTCCTCTGCCGCCTCCTGCAGAGCCCAGCGTGTGTCGTGCGTGTGGCTGCGTACAGGCAGGGGTCTGAGAAGGAGCAGGCAGCCCAGAGGTGGGTTGGAATCCACGTCAGGGAGGATCCAAAGGCTGTTTGACCTCACAACTGCGCTAGTTGCTGAGTAGCATGTAAGATGCTGACCACTGCTGGGGAATGGTACCCTGGCGACATATGGTCAGCTGCCCCTGCCCTTTGAAAATAGAGAGGGCAGCTGGGTGCAGAAGTTCTCCAAACAGCGTGCAGGGTCACACCTGAGTCAGCTGTCCCTTCTTGTGAGTGCTCCAGTGGCTCTCCCAGCTCTGCCCTGGCTGTGCCATGTCCCTTTGGTACATGTGCTGTCCGGGCTGTGGAGATGGGTCAGTAGGTAAGTGTGGTGGCCACAGTAAGCGGGGCGTGACCCAGGTGGACAGCCTTGCACCATCTCTGTGCTGTCTGCACACACATCACTCAGACTCGTTGTTGTGATGCTGGCTGCCCACCTCTGCCACCCACTGCCCGTGGCTGGCCAGTGCTCCGCCACACAGAGGCCACATGTCACTTGTCCTTTTCCAACTTAAGGCAGTGCTGGGATGCTGCCCTGTTGCTGGTAACTGGAGCTCTTTTTTTTTTTTTTTTAAGCAGGGTTTTTCTATGTAGTCCTTGCTGTCCTGGAACTCACTGTGTAGCCTGGGTCGGCCTTGAACTCACAGAGATCTCCCTGCCTCTGCCTCTCAAGTACTGGGATTAACACCACCGCCGCCCGGCTGACTAGACTCTTAGTCATGCGCTTCTCAGCCTTCCAGAGACTTCAGGCCCCACACGTGGAGCCCGCCTCTTGCCGCTGTCTCTTATGGGTGTTCCCCACACCGTACCCCTGGGTTGTCTTTGGAGGCCCTCATCTCTTGGGCCTGTGCGTGTTGGGTGACTCAACGTGGAGTCTGCAGCTCAGCCATCCCAGTTGTCTTTCAAAGGTGTTCAGTTACTACGGGCAATGGCCTGGCTTGGGGTGAAGTTAGAAGATGTGCAACTGGTTCCCTGGGTGACCTTGGTTGTTCATGATCTCACACAAGCTGCTGGGACCCACTGAGCTCTCCAGAGAGATGTGGACATCCCGCTCTAGGTGAGACGGTGGCGTGTGTGCGCACGACCCAGCACTGGGAAAGTTAAGTTTTTTCTTTTAGACCAAAGCTCTCTGGAGTTAGGCTGTTCTAGGCCTTGAGTACTGAGGGAAGCCGAGGCTCCAGCAGGCCCAGGGCACAGCTTAGACACATGAGAGCGAGCGAGTGAGCGAGCGAGTGCTGACCCCTGCAGTATGGGGTGCTGCTGCAGACATGTCTGAGGTCTGAGAGGCTCTGCTCTTACCCAAGCCTGCCCAGCAGGAGGCTGGCTGCGCAAGCAGTCCCAGCTGCAAGTCTACTGCCATCTACTTACGTCCCTGATGCCTAGCCTCAGTTTCCCCTGTGACCCTGGGGAGGTCACAGCCAAGAGTAGCGGCTGAGGGTGTGGGCTGGGAGCTTGGGTCCACAGGTGCCCTCCAGCTGGAAACTGCAGGACCTATGTGGTCATGTGGCACAGGGTACTCAGTCTCCTGGCTTTAAGATGGGTGTGTCAGTGGGCAGGAGATACAGCCCCTGGAACATCTTGTTGCTTAGCAGGGTGCGAGCCAAGCATACCAGCACCCGTGTGCCCTCCATCTGTGTGGGCACACCTGTCAGCCCGCCACCCATGTGGGTGTCCCTGCAGCCCTGCTGTTGGGTCTGCCCTAGCAAGAGTTCAGTCAGGGCTTCGTGGGTGAGGCGCCTCCTGCTGTCTGGAGGTAGCTAAGGAGCATGGGTGTCACTGCGAGGGGAGGCGCCTGACATAGGAGCTGAGTGCTCCCGGGGTTTTCACAGGCTACCGGCTGCCCTCTCGTCAGTCCTGAGACTCCCAGTTTAAACAAGGCCTGTGTTTATACATGGTCCAGTGCGGCCTGTGGAGACCCATGGAGGAGGACACTGTGAGAACAGACGTTAAGTGGCCTGTGGATTGGTGGCACTGTCCGTGCAAAGGTGCTGGTGTCGGAGGACAGCTGGCGTGATGTTGCTGCAACTGTCTTGTAGATGGGGTTGCAGAGTAGGGCGGGCACGGGTCTCTGCTCTCCATACCCCTGGCCTCCCCGCCATCCTGACGCTCTGCTTGGCCCACAGGCTGACCCCCCACTACATCTACCCGCCAGCCATTGTGCAGCCCAGCGTGGTGATCCCTGCCACCCCTGTCCCATCGCTGTCCTCGCCCTACCTTGAGTATACGCCAAGCAGCCCAGCCTATGCCCAGTACCCTCCAGCCGCCTACGACCAGTACCCGTACGCCGCCTCACCTGCCACGGCCACCAGCTTCGTGGGCTATGGCTACCCAGCTGCCATGCCCCCAGCCTTGTCCGCCGCTGCACCTGCGGGCACCACCTTCCTGCAGTACCAGGCACCTCAGCTACAACCTGACAGGATGCAGTGAGGCGCGTCCTGCCTAGGGCCACAGCCACCACCTGCCAGCCTCGGGAGCCACCAGCACTTGGGTCTCCTCGGGCCCCTGCCGAGGGCACCAGACAGCTTCTTCTCCAGCCCAGGCCCTGCTGTGCCTTGAGGAAGGACATGAGGAGTAAGGGGTACACCCTTGGGGACCTCTGCAGCCACTCCATGCCAGGTGCCTTACTCTGGGATGGGTGCAGACACGCCCCTTCCTCTTTGGAAACCCCGCCCACTCCCTTCAGTCGGAGTACTGCGCCATGTCCTTTTGGGATTGTTCTGCTCTGAAGGCAAGACCATCATCACCAAGAACCCTGAACATAGTTTCTACTTAGAGGCTGGCTTTGGTCAATAGTTCCCCTGTGGAGACATTGACAGTATTTCTCTGTGACAGTGTCACGGATGGGATGCCTGGAGCCACCCCTCCCGCACAGGGTGGTCATCACCAGACTGCAGCCATGCAGGGTCCTGGGTTCCTGTCTGTCTGGTGCTGCCCACCTCACCTGCAGAGGTCCTCGTCAGGGCGGATTCTCAGGTGTCTGTTGCTGTGCCATTGAGGCCTTCTTCCCGGCCCTGCACCCTCTAGGCAGGCTCTGCCCACCCCCCCGACCCTCCTACCCTCCTATGTCACCTGTGGGCCAGTCTGGGAGCATGGCCGGGCTGCGCTGCGCAGAGGGAGAAGTCCAGCCCACGTCTGGGAGGGGTGCAGTGAGCATCCCTGGCAGCATGAGCTGCCCGCAGGCTGGGCAGTGGGTCCCTCCACACCTACCTCAGGGAGCCAGTGTGAAGACACTGGGCAGTACGCCTGCTACTCAAGCCCAGAGGACAGAGGGAGTAATGTTATAATAATATTTTTATTAGAATGTTCTGATTATAAAAATAAAACATGTTTTCTTTAAAGAAAAGTCGGTCTGAGGTTTTTCTCTGGTGGCCATGGTGGTTCTGTGTCCAGGGTTTTCTGACAGCTGTTCATCAAAACCTCACCCTGCCCCAGTATGTCCCAGCAGTCTGAACTGGAGGGCTTCAGCCACCACAAGGTAGGTACAGCCCGGCCTGGGCAGAGGTCACTGTTGACCCTGGGTGCTCCGGCCTGCTCTTTTCCACTGTCCCTTTGGCCCCCGGGATGCTGTCCCAGTTTGTACTAGTTTGACTTTGAGATGTGCCGCCGCCTTGTTGCAGGATTGGTTTTGCTTTGGTCCCGGGTCTCCACCTCCAAGTGTCAGTTTGCAAGCCCTGAAGGGTCAGGAGGTCAATGTGGGGCTCTCAAGCCACAGCTGCTGCTGCTGCTGATAAGAGTTTGGGGCCGGGGAGGGGTGGCGGGCACTGCCAGGGTTATCAGGAAGGCCACTCGAAGCCAGTATACTTCCTGTCTCTATCAGTTGGTGGCAGCCACAGGGACAGGCCCTTTGGCCTGGGAAATGCCCTCCCGGGTCTTAGGATTGAGGTCTCTAGACAGGAGGAACCTGGGAGACTTCAGAGGTGCTGTTTTGGGCCAGGAACACAGCAGGGTGTGCAGGCAGCACAGCCACACTGCGGTCAATAAGGGCGACGGTAATTGCTGTCCTTGCTACAGGGCAGTTTCCCATGGGAGGTCCCTACCGTCCTTGCTACAGGGCGGTTTCCCATGGGAGGTCCCCAGGTACAGGCAGCAAGCTGCAGAGTTACCCACCGTTGTCCCTGGTAACGGTAAAAGGTCTGTTAGGAGAGCCCTCACTGTCCCAGGACGGGGATTTTCACTGCTCCACCCCCCAACGACAGGATTTCTGTTCTCAGTGTTCCCAGCTGCCAGCACAGACCTGGTACACAGTGTGACCCAGAGGAGGCACAGGTTCCACCCAGCCCAAGGGCCAGGCACACTCCCGCGCAAGCATATGCGTACAGACTGCACACACCGTGTGCTCGCCTGCCACATGAAGGTCCGAACACACTGACACGCCATTTGCTCCCTCCCCGTGGGCATTTACACGGGTACATGCGAAGCTCCACACACAAGCACACCTGACTCAGCTCAAGTGCACACTCGCATAGATGTCTGCAAAGTGACACACAGGCATGCATGTGTGCATGCACGCCCCGGCCCCAGGCGCACGGGATAACATGAGTAGGGTCCACGTGCGTCATCTGTGTTGCGTGGTGGGTGGGGATCATGGCCTCTGGAGCAGAGATGTAGCTGTAGTTTTGAGCTGGAGTCACTTGGGGAGAGAGCTAGATGGGGCTGGGGGCGGGGAGGGGTGTGTCTGGGTGGCTGGACAGAGAGGAGGAGGACCGAGGACCTTGGGCTGGACCTTCTCTCTGCAGCCTAAGGTAGGAGTCAGCTCAGCTCAGCCCCAGCGCTACCATGGACATACAGGCAGTTCAGTCTGCTGTGTTTGCCCAGAGCCCGAAGCCACATGGCCGGCTGCGTGGTCTATGCCTCTCCCCTACCCTGGGGACCTGTCCTGTTCCATGGGACCCCCCCATCCCTGGGCACCCCCTGCTGTGAGAAGCTTTCAAGCCTTCAGGTGTGGGAGTCACGGGCAGATCCTAATTGCTCTGTCCGGGCTTCGAGCCTCAGTATGATCAATTCGTCCAAGTACTGGATAGTGACCTCTAGTCATTACCTCACTCTAAGAGGACTCAAGAGTGGCCTCCCACAGCCTGAGGACTCTGGTTAGGGATGGGAGCATGCAGGTCCAGAAGTCTTGGAGCCCTCATTTGGAGCCTATGGCCCTAGGTGCTCTCTTTACTCTTACGTCCTGGGTGTCTGGCACTCCAGTGCAGTCTAGAACCCTGAGGAAGGGAGCCACACCTTGGTGAAATCCCTCCCTGCTGCCTCTGCAGGCCTGCTCTGTGCCCTCTTGTGTATGTATTCCTAGTTACTTCCGGGGCCTCAGCTTCCTCTCCACACAGACTAAGCTGACCCCCACCCGTTAGGAACAGCTTCAGCGTTATTGGGCCCAGTGGTTGGGGGGGGGTCTCTCCTGCAGCCCAATCCCCTTGACTAAGCAGTCATTCACTCTCTTCTACCCCAACTATTGGTTTAGACATGGTGGAGGCCCTGTCTGGGTCATGAGAACCACATGAGCCTTCTGGAACTCCAGGAAGAAGGGGGACTCCTCAGGAGGAAGCAGGCCAGGAACAGATAACCCCGAGTTTCTGTGGGGGAGGAGGAGGTGTGCGCTGATGGACAGCAAGGAGAGCTGGGAGCCAAACGGTCTCTGAGGTGGCCTCGGGAGGTTCCTGGGCCCAGCTCTCCAAGCCAGCTGCTACCTCTTGGACCAAGAATGGCCCTCAGGAATCCATTTCCCTTGTTCCTGAGGGCAGAGGCCCGAGTGGGTGTTTGTAATCCCGCAGGGTTGAGGTAGTAGCTGCCCTTGGCTCTGCTTCCAACTGCCTCAGGCCCTCATGGAGACCCTGCCCCCTCTTGAGGGGAGCTAGATTGGGGGCAGAGTGAGTAATCTGATCCAGGCTTCAGCTCTGTGTGTGGCCCTGGCCAGCTGGCACCCATGAGTGCCAGGAAACACCTTGGCCAGGCCTCTCCCGTGCCTCCCTTCCTCTGTCAGGTGTGTAGACTTCTCTCCCAAGGACCTGCTGCAGTCAGGATGCAGTGGGAGGGGCCAGGTGTGGAGGCCATCTCTGGCTCTACCACTCTAGGGGTTGGACATGATGTCTGGAGCTCCAGCAGCCATCCTGCTGCTTGGACGATTGACCCAGCCACAGTTATCTCTCTTATAAACTGGCTAATTACCGAGTTCCTGAACAGAAAGGAGGAGGATATGGTAACCGTTAGTTGACGTGAGGTAGGTGCTCAGCCCACCAGCCCCGGGAAAGACTGAGCAACCATCAGCAGGGAGAAGTCACCCTTGAGCTCGGGGCTCTGCTCCCCAGAGAGGGGACTCAAAGTTCCAGCTACCTACAGCCACACTGCTAACCCTCACGTCTCCAGAACTCAGTCTGAGAACTCATGGGTTCCCCTCTGACATCTCCCGAGACCTTGGCATCCCGTGGGAGACTGACGGTGCCTGTGCCAGGTAGGTCGTCCAGGCAGAGAAATCCCATGTGTCTACATGCTGCCAGAGTGCTGCAGAGTGACTGGGCTGGGTTTAACCCAAGCACCTTGAATCTAGCCACACAGGACTTCGCCAGGTTCAGGCCACCGCCCCATCCCTGCTTCCACCTCACCCGCGGCCAGCTGGGCGTCGCCCCCACCCATGGCCCTCTGTGCCTGCTGAGTCACACTGGTGTTTTTCCTCAGACATGTAAACACTGAATGAGGGCCACAGGCAACAGGTTGGATGTCTAGATACAGCTGCCCAGAGCTCCCTGCTCTGGGTGTCACCTCGGGCAGTGGTGGGGGTGGCACCTGCCCTCCCAGTACCTCCTGGGGTTGCTGATAAAGAGTCAGGCTTTGCTTATCAGCCTGTTATTCTATCCCTGGGTGCTCGTGGGGGAGAAGCTGAGAGCAGAGATGGGGAGTCCCTACCACCCCACCCCCAGCTCCTGCGAGACCCGTGACTCAGAAAGCCCTGGGTGCCACCTGCTGGCCCCTACCTGTCGATGGGGGCATCATGAGAGGAATTTTAAGAGTAGAGATATTGTTCTAAGTTATACATATAAAATAGTCCTGCTAGAATCTGGATATGTAGTTTAAGCCTGTAATCTCTGTCCTGAGGAGACTGAGGCAGGAGAATGGCCTTGGGTTTGGAGTCAGCCTGTTTCAGAGTGAAACCCTGTCTCTAAAGAAATGTAAGTCAATAGGTAAATGAATATGTCATTCCTCTGATAGGTAAACATGCTCTGATAGAGAAGCGTTGGGGTGGTTTGTGCACACGTCTCTGCGTACAGAGGAGACATTTACTGTTTACTTTCCTGGAGTTTTGAGACAGCCTCGCTCGGTATCCCAGGTTACCGCCCGGACCTGGGGATCATCCCATCGGCTCTGCCTCCCACCACACAGGATGCGGGATGTGTACTTGGGGTCAAAGGGGAGTGCAACCCTAAGACAAAGTTTGAGGGGGGCGGCGTGGTTCCTTTTGTAGCAGCTGAAACACAGAGCTGAGGGGCAGAAAAGGACTTCCAGAATGAGGAGACAGCTCACAAAGTCATAAAGCATCTTACAGCCCCGCCTTCGAGGACTTCGGGTGCACCTCGGTGTTAGAGTTGGCACAGGCAAGGTTTTAGGTTCCACACCACACACGCGTACACACATGCGTACACACACACACACACACATACACACGTGCGCGCGAATCCTTGGTGGCTTACCCAAACAGCTCACGTCTGGCCAGTGGTTTCTCATTTAGGGCTAATTCTTTCCTCCCTTGCAGCGTGATCTACAGGACTCTGCCTCCTGCCCCTCTGGCAAAACTGACACGGACACCCCCATACATGCACACGTTGCTTGACCGAGCCCCTCCTGCAGACAGGTTTTGTGTAGCTGTTGAGCGAAAGCTGTCAGGCCCCAGCTGACCACATTTGCATGAGGCCCAGGGCTGGCTCAGTGAAGCGGTGGGCCCTCTTGACTGCTGGCTTCAGATGCTAAGCCCCAGAACAGCCCAGGGGCAGCTCCGAGTGCTGTGGAGGACTTTCATGTTAGCTTTCAGGGGCAGAGAGCAGCAGACATCGTCTCCGAGCAAGCACGGTGTGGTGCTCAAATCCCTGGACGGATGTGCCTTTCCCCCCTGGAAGAGGGCTGTGCTCCTGAGCAGATGACGCAGAACCTTGTCAGGAGGTGAGTACCAGTCACGAGAGATGAGAGACAGGAGCTTGCTGCTCACCTCTGGATGGTAGCCAGGGGAGCCTCCATAGAGAAGAGCCACAGAGAGGTGCAGGCTAAGAGCCTGTGGCAGGGCACACGGCACAGGCGAGGGTCCTGAGTGGGCGGGGCTCGGCACATTAGAGGAAGGTGCCCACTGTGGCTGGCGGG